GTCCCGGGGTAGCCGCCCCCTCGGCGCGCGCCGCCGCCCCCTCTCCAGGGAAGGATGCGGCCTCCACCCCGGCGAGTCAGCCCTGGGGATGCAGCGGTGCCCCGCTCGCCCCCGGAGACCGGGAGCCTGCGTCAGCTGCCGAGCTGCGGCCCCGCGCCTCGGGCACGGTGGACATCGCTCGCGCCATCCGGGCGGCGCTCAGCATCTGTGGGCTGGCAGTGCCTCGTGCCCCGGCTCTGCCAGTCTGGCAAGGGGCACTGGGGCAAAAGGGAGCCTAGGAAAGCGGGCTAGAAGGGAAGCTGGTCAGTTCTGCCCTCGCCAGAATAAGGGCTACCCGCCGTTTCTCCGCATAACAAACCGCTGGTGTAATATGCACCCTCTCTAATGCCAGGGTGTCGTGAGCCTTGTGCCCGTGAAAAAGGGGCAGCAAGGTGAATCTCGGGCTGTTCCCTTTCCCTGGTTGTTTTATGCACTTGATACAGGTCCATGCGAGCACCTTGTACTGTCTATTTACAATCTGAATTGTGGATGTTGATTTCGATGCACATATTTAAAATCTGACTAGGCATATACCTAAAAACTCCTGTGCTAAAGTATCTGATGCACTGGCACTTTGTGAAATAGGAAGAATAAGTTTGTACCTGTTGATGCCCTTCTTTTGAGAAGGGTTTTTGTGACCCAAAGCTTGCAAAGAACAATTTTTCCAAGTATTAGCCTAATACAAGAGTTCAGATTTACCCAAAAAACCTCTGCCTATGTTCTTAGACCACAATGGCTACAACCAACAACTCTAAAGCTTGCCAGTCCTTTCACTGGAAGATCAGAACTTGTCCCAACAGGCTTTATTCTGTGAACTGCTTTGTGGAGATTAATATATCCTAGTATGTGATGCATGTCTAGGGACAGAGGCTACACATAAGCAGGTTTCAGTGATCAGAAACTGGTTTAAACATGTAACAGAATAGAAGTTCAGTGCACATAAACCAGTTTCAAAATGGCCAAAACTGGTTTAAGATAAATGTGGTTGGATGTAGTATCAGACCTAACTAACTTAGGGCAAACCAGTTTATGGAACTTCTGTCCTAAGATTCCTTCCTGGTTCAAGTTAACTCACAGTCTGCCAGCATCCCAGGATGCTTTGCAGCCCTGGGCTATGTGGTCTGCTCCAGTGGAGCAGGAACTGCCTTGCCCCTCTGCTCCTTAGCCATAGGAACTGGGAAGGCGGGGATACAAGGGAACAGACCACCAGATGCCCCCTAGCCCGGGTCTACACAGCATGTGGGGGGGCAGAAAGCACCTGTGGTGGGGGCTTTTCAATCCTGGGCAGCCCTCCACCTTCCCAGGTGCTGACTGCTTCAACAACTGCCACAAGAGGGAGGGAGAAGAGTCCTCCTGGCCGAGTGCCTGCTGGTGCAGCCCAGCATGAGGGCACTGAGAAGCCTCTGCCATGGAGGGGGCTTCCCCTTATCGCAGCCCTGCGCAGCCCCAGGGAGCTGAGGGGAATTCTTCTCTTGGACTCTCCTCCTGGACCCCAGAGCTGCTTGCTTTAGCCCCTGGGAGTCTCAGGAGTGGAGGGAAATTCTCCTGCTCCTCTGCAGCTGGTTTTGTCTCAGCTGCTGAGTCTGAAGCAAAACTAGTTGCAGGGGAGTGGAAGAATTTCCCGCTGCTCCCTGAAGCTGCACTGGGCTACCCCTGAGACTTGCAGCAGCCAAGGCAAGCAGCTCTGGGGGTTGGGAAGGGGAGACTTCCCTTCAGCTCCCTAGGGCTGCCAGTCTTGGGGAACCCAGGCTGGGGGAAACCACCTGAGGGGGAAGCTCCCCCAAGGTGGGCCAGCACCTGGACAGAGGGCTCCTTAACCCCCTGTGGGGGGACAACAGGGGTGGGGGACACTTGGTTGGGCTGGCAATGGCCAGCAGGCTAGGACATGTCTACAGGCCTGGGTCAGTGCAGGCCACCCCTGCCTTTCCCAATTGAAAACTTAATGTCAGTTCAGTTGGTTATTGGTTCAACCAACGCAGCTTAGAGGAAGCTGCCTAGATTGAACTGATTCTGCCTCAGGCTTTTTGACTGTCTGTACTTAGCCCAGGGGTTTACTATGAGCAAAATGTTCAGATCCACTTTGATTCTTGAGAAATAATGGATCCCAGCAGTTTCATTGATTCTACTTGGTTGAGTGTCAGCCTGTAGGGTTTAGGACCAAACAAGTTCCACCTTCAGATGTTGATAATGTCTTTTTGTTTAAGAGGCAAGGTTTTGGGGGTGATACCTTGTATTGGATCAACTGTATAACTGGAGGAGTTATAGACAAGTTTTTGGCCCCTTTTTCAGGTCTGATAACATTTATGCACTAACTTATCAAATCACTCAATTATCCAATTGTGTATAATGCATTTATTTAATTGTCAAATTAATAATTTTCTTTTAGTTGCTTTTAGTTTATTTTTCAACTTTTTTCATCTGTTCAAATTGCATGAAAACAGCTTGATCCCTCTGAGCAATAAAATGAATGCTCCCATTTTTATTAAAGATGTCATTTAAAGTAAAAAGAAACCTTTAAATAGTGTGAAATGAGCTTTCCCAATATAATTGTGATGGTTTTGAGGCACATTACAGTGCTAATCCATAAATCAGTTGCCTCTAAACAAACCAACAAAATTGTTCTTACTATGAATCATACAAAGATTGCTAATATTTGGTTTGGTTTGTTTGCTGCGGGCTTTTGTTCTCCTCTCTGGGACAAATAGAGAGAGGAAGGGTCTCTTGTTATCTGATATGTCTGTACGTTGGCTTTACTGATTTATAAATCCATTGCCTTGGGAGGGACAGGGAAAGAAACTAGCAGAGAAAGAAATTACTGTGTCTGCTTTGTGGATTTCCAAAAGAAGAAAAAACTTTGTCAGGCTTAGGAAAAAGGCAGCAAAGGATACAAAGCACCTGAGTAAGGAATTAGTTAAATAAAACAGGAATGGAAAGAGGAAGAAACACAGGCTGTCACTCTTAAAGAATGAATTTATTTGAAAACAATCGATTTCAAGTTTAGAACACCTGGAGAGTTGCCATCACTGCAACTTGAAACAGTTTTCAAGATCAGGCAACCTATATGAGAAATACTTCAAAAATTAGAGTTTAAGTTACTGGTTTTTGTGATGCAATAGTGCTAGAGGCCATAACCTTTTGGGAGGCCCAGTACAGACATGAAAGAAAAGTATTGGCAGTACTCCAAACTTCTTATTACCATTTTAAATGTTCCTCCAGTGTTCCAAAGTACTGGCGTAGGACATTGTTTTGAGGATGTTTTAACATGTTTACTACCTTTATAAATCTCAGTCACACTCCCTGCTTGATGCATTTACAAACTTGCCTAGGCCTGCACTTATGACCTTTCCTGAAATCCCTTAGATGATTTTCAGGTTGTACCTGTAACAAAGGTGTATCAGTCAGCAAAAAAGCTTTTGGTACCTTTCACACAGCATTAGGACACTGTGAGATTTATTTTATGATGTAGAGTTCCTGATTCCTGAAGATATGTTTGAACAGTTTTAACATCCTGCAAGACACGGAATAACTTAGTCAAAATGGGTGCATGCAAAAAATGGTGCTTTACTTCAAACTTGGCACGTTCTCGTGCCAAGCCCCACACACGCCTAGAAAAGGCAGCGCGTTACTTCAATGTGGCTCGCCCACTGTCGGTAAAGATCAGGCAATTTAGTGGGGCTTTTTTGGCACTTTTATCTAATAGCTGATTGAATCAACGTTAGCTAAAAGTGCCAAAAAAGCCCCACTGAAGCGCCCGAACTTTACCAACGCTGCAGAGCATGGTTGAAGTTACACACTAATTCTTCGGGTAAAGTGTGGGTTTTTGTTTTTGTTTTTAATGTCTGCAAGGAGCCAATCAGAGCAGTTCCCTAAGAGAAAGGCTACAAGTGGCTATTTTTGTCCTTGGCAAACCAACAAACAGATCAAGCTGTTGGAAAAAATTATTTAAATCCAGTACAGGAAATCACAAACTGAAGTCCTGCCTATAAATTCAGTGCCTTGAAACAATAAAATGGTGTTAATATTATTTAGTTTAGCAGACTTTGTAAAAAATATGCAAATACATTAGATACTGGGACTGTGCATCCTTCATGGACTGTAAGAATTAATATATGTTTTACTATAGTCTAATCCCGGGGTGAGTGATTATGTCAGCTGGAAAGCCACTTAATGAATTTTGGTGAGCTGTT